AGGGGAAGGGACCAAAGAAGAGGAGGAGGTGGTAGGGGAGGACGAGTGTGTGCCACTGCTCAAACTTCAGGAAGAGAAAGTTGCAAAGCAGATGCAGGCAAAAAGAAGAAATACCTGGCCTGTGCTGTTGCATCATGCCTGGAGAAAGGCTAGCAGTCTCTCCACCCCCACCCCCAACTCCAGAACTGCCACTCAGGTGCCCATCTGTGATTTTTTTTTTCATTTTTACAAAAGCCCATTTTTCTTTCTTCCTTCCTAGTTTCTTCACACACGTGCTCTTACATTGGGATTTCTTAACTGGGTTTTATTTCCTCCATTGGTTGACAAGCTAAAGTGAATTTGCAAGGTCTATAGACGAATTAGTCTGAGTCTGCCAAGTAGATTTCATAAATGTTACTCTGCTTGTGTTTTAATTCATAATTCAGAACATTCTAAACATTTTCTCTGTGTCTGGAAGACAATTATTTAGTGCTTTTGCTTAAAGAGCTGGAGAGGAGGTAAAAGGATAGAAACCTAACCCTTACTTGGATCAACTCCAGCAAACGACTGCTGACAGTTACAGAGGGTTGTGCGGCTTGTGGAACAGTTTAACTCACATAAATTTCCTTCTTCAAGCCCCTACTCTTCCTAACCCTTCACCAGTCCTCACCCTCAATGTCAGCTTCAAATACTTGACTAATTTCCCATTTTCCTTACCAAAATTTCTCCCTTTTTTCAATTTGGCTTTTTGAGACAGGTTCTCATTTTGCAGACCAGGCTAGACTACTTCTGACTCTGCTTCCTGAGTCCTGGGATTAGAGGTATGCACCACCACCCTGGGCAGGATCAAAATCTCAATCATGTATCTAATCTGTGACTCTGTTTCACACACCCTGTCCCTTTATCCTCTAGGCTCTAGTCACAGAGCTATGCATCGGTTCTTCCAATGGAACAGGACTTTGCACCTGCTTCTCCAAGAGTATTAAATGCACTTGCCAATTCCCATTATGCCAATTAATTCTTACCTTTCAACTCCATTGTCACTTCCTCAGGGAAGCATTTTCCAATCTTATGACAAAGTCAAATTCCTTTACGATAGCCCTTGTGGGGGCTGAATCCAGGGATCAGGAACAGAGGATCAAAATGAGCCAGAAGATTAAAAAGACGTGCTGAGCCACTGGAAGATTTGACACAACATACTTTATTTTTTCCCGGAGAGAGCATGTGCCCTTGATTCCAAGAGTGTGTTGTGGGAATGCATACAAAGGTGGCTTCTTGTATACCAAGTCACGTTTGTTTACTGCTTACTCTTGATTCCCTGGACATCTGGTAGTGGCCTCTTAACTAAGCCATTCCAGAAGTCCATACTGCTGTCATGTTGTCTAAGCCTTTATTTGGTTTTCACAACCTTCATTTCTTTTAGTCCTATATCCAGTCCTTTCTAAACACCTAACCAAATTAAAATTTAACTATATAATTCCTAGCACTCAACCCAATTATTTTATATGTATTTTTATGACTGTTTAAATGTTTTTTATCTCCATCAGTAGACAGTATGTCCTATGAGAAGAGCAGCTGTAAGTATTTTGGCCCATTGCATGTTCCTAGGAGTAACTCAGTTCATGATGTGTATGTTCTGCACACAATTAATTTAAAAAAGGAAAGACTAATCTCTGTGTTGAAAGAAGATAGGATGTCCACATTTAAGAAATATAGGAATTGAGTTTCTGAGACTGTAAGGGATTTATTCAAGGACTACAAGCCTAGGCATTTGATTCCAAGGTATTTGACTCCTGATTTTAAGGCCAAGGCTGTTTCAATAGCAAAGTTTGGCATGGCACATTATAGATATCTACTGCAGGCTTACTCACTGAAGAAAGTATGAAGAAATGAATTATGGAAGAATAGTTTTGGCTGTGATACTGGGGAAGGCATTTCACCCCTGTTCCCTAGCTGATAGCCAAACAAGTCAATCTCCATGATCTGGAATTCGGTGACTCTTGTACTTCCAAAGTCCTTATGCTTTGGGTTTCTGCTGAATGATAGGAACCAATATGTGGTGGCTGAGTTATTTAGCAACTCGGGTTTTTTTATGCATCTGTGTTTCCATGCATATGTATGCCACATGTACTGGAATACTTGGTTGTAAGCTGTCTGAAGTGTGCTAGAAATTGAATTCAGGTCCTCTGGAAAAGCAGCAAGCACTCTTAGCCACTAAGCCATCTCTCTAGCCCCATCTCTCAAGGTCCAGGTTTGATTTCATGTTTGGGATGATTTTAATGTATTCAAGGGACAACTATCACTACGTAGCAAGAGACAATTTCAGGAGTAATTATATGGATAGCATATGGCAGCTGTAGAAACAATACACCTACTACAGGACCTTAAGCACAACAGATGGGAAAGCTTCTCTATAACCTTGAGAGTTGACCCTGGGACTTTCAGGTCTGTAATATAGTAATTTGCAAAGCAGCAGAGAACATCTGGTCACAAAGCTAGCAATTTTAGTTGTCTGATTCCATTGATAAATGTCTAAACACTAATAAAAGGTAATTCTGAATAACCTCAATCACTCAGCTAAGAGATAAATGGAAAGTGTCAGAGCAAGGCACCTTCTCCTACAAATTGGGGGCTACTCCATAGAACTAGTTGGAGATATATGTTCTTATGCCCACACTCTTCTAATAAGAGTTCATGCTGATATGCTCTGTAAACTAAAACTTGAAGTTCACTTCACTTCCACACCCTGACCTAGGCACACACTGCAGCCAACTCACTGTTTTTCAAGTCTCCTTGAGAAATCTTTGACTCTTTCCAATGCCAGATCAAGAGATGCCCTCAAAATAACCCAGTGCCACCTTTCCCAATGTTCTACAATGTTTATTTATGCCCACACAATAGTTCTGTTGGTCAACTTACTCATGCATGGTTATCTGCTATTTTTATCTACTGTACCAATTATCCTTACAAGATCCTTGAAGATAGGAACTTTTTCTATACACCCCAAGCACACCCGACGTTTAAAAAATGTAAGACAAATGCTAAGAAACATGTAGCATTAATCTGGAGATTGATTTATTAAAAGGGAGCCATGATTTTTATGCTGTCAGCCCAGGCAGCAAAGTTTATCAAGAAGATTTAGTGACCCCAAAGAGCAACTCCAGTGCTAAAACTTTCAAGCACTGGATTTGTTTGTTTGTTGGGTTAGTTGGTTTGGTGTTGTTTGCTTCTATGGTTTTTTTGAGACTGGTTCTGCAGATGCTGCTCAGGTTAACCTCGAACTAATGATTCTTCTGCTTTGGCTCCCCAAGTGCTGGGACTGTAGGCACGTGCTGCCAGGCCCAGCTTTAAGCACCCTCATGTGCCAACATGGAGCTTTTTAGAAGAGCAGAAGCTTTCCTTGCATTATTTAATTTAATTTCCCAACAACCCAGGAAGGTATTGTGATTTCCACTTTCACATAGAATAGTTGAGGTCTAAGTGACATGGTTTCACCAGGCCATGACATTCACCACCTAGCTTTAGGGCCATTCTTGGCATATGATAAACTATAAGTCATAAGCTTGATTTTTTTCTTCCCTACTTTTCTATTACGTGTGTGTGTGTGTGTGTGTGTGTGTGTGTGTGTGTGTATGTGTGTGTGTGTGTGTGTGTGTTGCTAGGGATAAAATAGGGAATTTATATGTGTAATTTTACTTTTTAAAAATATGTTTAAATGTAACAGATTTATTCACACAGAATCTTTCATTCATATTTTGCATAATTCTGCTTGGCAGACTTCTCATTACCATTTAATACTTATTATCAATATTTTAAGGACTCACTTCATCCCATATGCTCAGAACTGCTTGGGGATAAGAAAATTGAAAGACAGTTACATAGTTTGTCTCTATAGTTACAGAACTAAGAAGATGACAGGCCAGAGGGAACCCAAGCCATTTGACCATAGTAGCCAAGTGCTCTCAAATACTTGTTTCATCACTTTTAAGTACAAAGGTCAAGCTGTCTAGAACTATGTAGCCACCTAGTCAATTCCTGATCAATCCAATCTCTGTGACCGAAGTGACATATAAATACAATGTCTTCCCTTTGAAGAAAACTAACTCTATGCTTTCCCATGAGCTGGCTTTGACAGATAACAGAACCAAAGTCCATGCTAAGCTGAAATTTTACTTCTTCTCCATCCTTGGGTGGCCCTAGCTCAGCTTCCATCCCTAATTGACACTGTCCTACATGAGACTTAACCCTTTTAGGAAAGCACAGATAAATAACCTAAAATCTATTATTACTTTCCTGGTGGTCAGGCTATTTTCTCATTTTACCAAGAAATAATGGTCTACCATCCCAGAACTTCTCATATGAGGTCTTGATAAAGTAACAAGCAATAACACAGACTTTCTTGCTAGGCATGAGAGGACACACTAGCACTCAGTAAACTGAAGCAGGAGGATCATGACTTCATGGCCAATCTGAGCAACACAGAGAGTTCAAGCTAGTCTGTGCTATACAGTGAGGCCCTATCTCAAAAACTCAAAAGTTATGGATGCAGTTCAGTGGCAGAGTACTGGCCTACCATGCATAAGTCCCAGGGTTCCATCTCCAACATCACACACACACACAGACACACACATACACACACACACACACACACACACACACACACACACAATTTACTGAGTCTTTGAATCATAGACCAGACACACATATGCTGAACTCTTCACTAAAATCCCTCACTTGATTCGCCCTTATAATAATGTTTTACAGGGAAAACACCCAGGCTTAGAGGCTGAGAACCACATCCAAGATCCCAGGGCTGGATTCAGGTATGTCTGGTGCCAAATCTGGACTGCTAGTCACATAACTTATCCTCAGAATTTGACGCCAAATTCTACTCTCTTTCCTTGTCCCTATAATTAAAGATACTCAGGTGAAGAGAGGAAGAAAGAAGAGAGAGAGAGAGAGAGAGAGAGAGAGAGGAAATGTAGAGGAAGAAAGGGTGGGAAAGAAAGATGAGAGACTACCTGATGAGGCCCAAGTCTGCTCCCTTCAAATCCACCATTTTCAAGAGGACCATTTCCTTGTCTGTGTTTGAAGAATACCTATCAGCAAAACAAAGGAACATAGTCAGTTGATGTTAGAGATTTGCCCTCATGTCCTACAAACAATAAAAGCAGACACAAAAACATAACAAAAATAGGACTGGCCAGATGGCTCAGTGGGTAAAGGTGCTTGCTTTGCAAGCCTGAGGACCCGAGTTTGATCCCAGAACACATGCAAAGGTGGAAGGAGAGAACCAACTCCACAAAGTTGTCTGCTGGCCTCCACATGTGCACAGTGGCACAAGAGCTCTCCCATGTGCCCACTTAGATAGTGAGACTCCATAGTAAGCAGGTGTCCTACACAGTGTAGCCAGTACCTCATATTTCAGCTAAGGAAATGGGTTACTGGGGCTGGAGAAATGGCTCAGCAGTTAAGAGCACTGGCTGTTCTAGCAGAGGAACGCAGGTTCAATTCCCAGCACCCACATGGTGGCTAACAACCATCCATAACTCTAGTTCCAGGGAGACCAAAACCCTCTTCTGACCTCGGCAGGCATTATAAGGCATGGGTGCATTTACATACATGTAGGAAATACACACATACATATGAAATTTTTAAAATAAGATAATGGGTTACATTTATGACCAGTGTTAGGGCACTAGATCAACAAACTGAAGCTAAAGTATATTTTTATGTAATATGTGTGACATTATATAACAAATACATGTTTCTTACAAACAAGGTTTATCTTTTAAATTTCTGCTCATCTCAGTTTTCAATGGACTCTCTTGAAAAATACGGAGAATTCAAATCAAAGTCATTTGATACCTGCAACTTCACTTTGCACCTTTTCAAGGAAAATCAGATTATAATTTCTAAAATTAAACAGCTTTGAAAACTATGCAGATGTAAGCTGCCAAGCAACCACATTAAAACAGACAACTGCTAAATTGCCACAGTATCCACAGACCTCTCTTCATTCACAAGTCTTGAGTCATCACTTTAAAAAGCACAAAACGTCCATCTCTATTAGCTATTCCATTTAGTTATGCTTATTTGAAGTCTTGCCCTTCCTTCCAGTTCTTTGCTTTCATTCCTCCTTGCTCAGCTCCAGTAGACTAAGATGACTTATTGAGACAATACTGTCCTGGGATCCCATTTCATCCACCAAACAACAACAACTCTGGACTTTGATTTTGTTGCTATTTTTTATAGGAAATGCAATGACACCGTGTTGATAATTTCCTCTCACCTTGCTCTCTCTGACTGTGGGTTCTGAAGGTAAGAAGAAGGGCTTCGGTTGATCTGCACACCATCAATATTTCCTTTGTTAATAAAGATTTTGCCTGGTTTAATATTTTTGTGTGCTATCTCAATGCTCTGAAAGTTAAAAAAAGGGGAGGATTGTAAATTTATGCATCTTTGTGGACACAACGAGTGAATCATTACAAACAGAAGAGCCCAGTGGACAATTCCCTTTCTTTCTAATGTGCTCCCACTATAGGATAAAAGCTGGAAACAGGACCCTTATCCCTTGGGAGGTAAAAGAGAATGGCTTACAGGGTTAAAATAAGGGAAATGATATATGTATGGAGACATGGTACTAATTCACCACCTAAACTCCCAAAGACCTCTGTTTCCTAGGATCTTTAGATTGTTAGGTCATGAACACTTTGCCATTTTGAATGGCCAAAAAATGGGAAAGTTGACTCCTGCCACACTGGGACAAGATTTACTATCATGTATATATCCCACCCTCTCTCTCAATCCATTATCCTCCATGGCAGTTTGTGAACATTTTTAACTGAGAGCCACAGTGAGGGAAACATGCTATTATCACAACTTAACACACATTAACATACACATCTTAAAACAGAAGTTCAGAACAAAACTATACTCCTGTGGTGTGTAATGTATGTTTCCCAATATACTTTGAGTTCTTTTGTATTTAATGTTTCTTAAAACCTAGGACCTTTATTTCATAGACCTTTAGCAAGTTCCTAACCACAGTATGAAAAATACTATTGAAAGAAAATCCTGCCTTTGTCAGATGGATCCCTGAGTTTAGGGTTGACTTTGTGAGAAAAAAAAAATAGAGGAACTAAACCTGGAAGGCAAAATAATAAAGAAAAACATTTTAAGGACTCTTGTACAAGAAGGCAATAAACTAGAAGACAGAGGAGAGAGAGGACTGCAAGGTACCCTAGACAAGAATGGGAGGGGACTTGAAGGTGTGGCTAGGACCCTATGAAGATTTGGACCCACTATAAAGGATTTGAGAAATTATGTCTAATTGAATCCTTTCTGGTCTTTAAAAATACAAGAATATAATAGGATTACTTATAACTACTTGGTGTTTTTTTCTGCTCTGACTTTGTGACAGACAAACTGCGGGGCCTTCTATGAGTTACATCTCTTTAGATGATGATGATGATGATGACATGCCATTACTGCTATAGAGACTTTTTCTTCTAATCAGTCAGAGTCTCAGATCTAAGAGCCACAGTTCCTATATGGAAGCAGAAGTGAGTCAGGGCCTGGGGTAGTAGTGCACAGCTGTAATTCTAGCACACAAGAGTTTTGGCCAGAGAATAGCAAGTTCAAGGTCAACCTCGGCTGCAAAGTCAAAAATTATTAGAAGAGAAGAAGGAAGAAAGGGAGGAAGAGAGGAGAAAGGAAGAAAGAAGGAAGGGAGGGAGGGAGGGAAAAGAGAAAAAAAGGAAAAGTCAGTGGAACACCTGATGACCTTCAAATACACATCAGAATGTGAATGCCCCTCCTTTTTCTTTAATTCTGAGCTTTAACTAACGCAACTCATGAAAATTACTGATACTGAACTTGCAGAACAGTAATGTGCTTGTGATGAACCCCATGAGGTGAGAGTCTGCTGTAAATGCTCTGAACAAAAAGGGAGGGGGGGGGACCCATGCCCCAATGGTAAAGGCCCGACTTGGAACATGGCTTTCCTCCATATTGTTCCACTGCACCTCCTTTCCCTCTCTATAAAAGCACTGTCACCGTTGAGTTCCCTAGGATGGTTCCTCTTTTTTGCAGGGAAGGGAAGAGGAGACTGTAGCACCCTCCTCCTCATCTTTCATAGTCCCAGCTCTCAAATAAAACTTATTTCCTTCCCACCATCATTTCCTGATTATTAACGTTTGAGCTGCAAGCAGAAAGACCTGCTTCTGGTAACTGACGGAAAGAGAATAAAAGGTAGAAACTAACACTGTGCTCAGACCCAAACCCTGTGCGGAGTTTCTCTGTGTCACCCCAAACCAGTCCCAAACCATCTGTGAGAACAGTGAACAGCAGCTGCTCTGGGGCCCTTTCCTACCTTCACGATACCAGAGACCATGTACTGAAAGGTCCGATTGCTAAATCCTTCACTGGCAAGCACAAATATTGTGTACTGAAAAAATCCTGCAGGACCTGAGTGTGTGTGAGTGCCACTCAGGATAACATTGTCTCTTCGGTACAGGGAGCCATATTTCCTCTGTAGTCTGTTCAGTACCTTGAAGGAAAACAAAACACAGAACTAAGAAGAAGAATACTATAGCTTCTCAGCAGGAGAAAAAGTTCTGATGAGCTCGATCACTGGGCCATACAGATTTCCCATCCTTCTAAGTTGATCAACCGTAGTCACAAGTCCGGCAACAACAGCAATTGCTAACATTTTGTAGAGTCTTGCTACATGCAAGCACAAGGAAAGGTATTATATATAATATATATAATATGATATTATATATTATATGTAATAATATAAATATATTATAAAGGTATAATATATATTACACAGTTTAAAATATTTACAAAAACCCCAAGACAAAGTTATCATTAATCTTGTTTTTAGTTGAGAATATGGATGCACAGAAGTTAATTTGTCCACTAATCTAAAGAGTAACAGAGCCAAACTCCACATCCAATGCTCTCTAACCAGAACACCTACTTAATCCTCATTCAAAATAAAGGATTAACATCTAGGCAGGAGAAATATAGCACATTCATACAATTACGGTGTTTTAGTATAATGAAGGAAATATACAAAAATAAATACATATTATATTACATAGTGACAAATTCTATGAATAAAAACACTTGCAGGATAAGGAAGACATTGATGGACAGTCATGAAGAAAGACCTTCCCAAAGAGAGGCTTCCTTTGGCAGAGGTTTAAATGAATAAAGAAGCTGGTCAATGAACCTCAGGAAAAACATTCTAGGCACAGGAAACACTCTACAAAGGTCTCTTTGCTGTTCCACTGCCTCATTTTACAAGACGAAGAATCATCTCTTCTCTGACACAGGCTATTAAACCTGTCGATCTAAGGAAAACCATCTACTGTGTTTGAGGGCATGTCAAGAATCCTGTGTAAGGCGCACAAAAAGAAGATTCATCCTGTCAGCACCAACATGCAACCACATGACATTCAGGGATTTAAAACACACAGAAACCCTCCACAGTCATTCGGGATTAGTGCTGCTTTGAGCCACTAGGTTTGTGAATGATTTGTTTTCAGCAATAGGTAACTAATACAAAGATCTTTAGCAAATGTTCATTGCATTACTCAATCGCTGAACACCTACACACTCAACTAGCACTTTTACATGGCATACACACATCAAGAAAATACAGAAAAAATTAGTAATGTTGGAGAGTACATACTTGTGATTCTGTTTTATCATCTGCAATCTGGATCTTGCTATTGTTGCAGATTCTACATATCAGATCATTGCAATGATCTTGTAAGGACGTCTAAATGAAAGCAACCAATTAGCAATGTTTACCTGGAGTATGGCAGATATAATCTGGTAAAGGGACTCTCTGAAAAAGCAAGTCTTCATGTGTGCTGACTGACAATTTCTGTGGTATGAAGACTCTTACTATGGCCAGTTTCAGTTTAATAACTAGTTCACAACATTCAGGAATGCTTAACCATTGCCTCTACTGAGCTCCTTCAATCCAGTTTCAGCACACAGTGCTCTACAGGTGCAGCAGTTTATGTGCTATATACTTAATATATATATATATATGATCACTTGATCTCATCACTTTAACTAAAGATCTATATCACCCTTGTTCCAATCGTGTGGTCATTAAAACAAAACAAAAAAAAAGACACTATAAACAATTTTGCTTCATTAACCTCTCCATGTCTTAAAGATCAATTACTAGGTTACCATGTTCATATAAGCGACAATGTGACATGAAAGAACTAGGGAGAGAAAATGTGATTAGCATTACTAGCGTCCTTCTGACAAAGTGGACTTCATTCTCCATCCCAACAAGTTTCTGTGGTTCTTCTGTTTGACATTAACTCTGGTCCCATGGCCTAATCCCTTTCACATATTTCTCCCAAAGAGTTATTACCAGACCCATTAACAAGAAAGGTCTATAAGGAGAAAGGAAAACAATCAAATAATCAATGAAGGAACACCATGGAGCTGAACTAAAGTCAAAAGCTAATGTTCTCCCAACTCTTAACTAGGACGGGAAGGTAAGAGAAGAGAAAAGCAAGCCAACTCTGAAGCCCCTGCCCCATTCATTTTAATCCTGATGAACTACTGCCTAGAATTTTCTAAAAAAGTACATTTCTTCCTGTCAAGTCTGGACTGAAGCTCTTAAGAAGACAGCAGTTATTAATCTTGAGTTTTAGAACAAATGAACAGCTCACAGATATCTTAAATCACAGAAACTAGGCACATGAGACATTAGAGAAATTCAAAGCAATTCAAAGATCCTTACAGCAGCCATGCCCGCAGTTAGCCACTATAAGCCACCACGCCCACTGCATGAAAGGAAGAGTGTCTGGGCCGAGAACAAAGAAAGGCCATTCCTGTCTATTCTCCATTTTTTGTCTTCCCTTTCCATTCCATTTCCTACTGATGACACTCTTGGGAGCATGATCAAAAGAGCCAGAAAGCCATTCTGTTTCCTGCCCTGCCTCACTGCTCTGCCCACAGATCATCCCTAATCTTCATCCATGCTGGACGTGTCCTCCATCTTAAAACTGAGACTGAGACCTTACCTAAAACCAGGTGTTGCAAATAAGCTTAATCTATCTACTGCATTTATTTTTGCCATCTTCCCTTGTATTCATGAATTACTTCACCTTATAAATTTAAATGGGTTGATATAAAGTCCTTCTCACTGGGCCTCATATTGTAGGGAGAAGTAAGAACAGGAAGAAGAGGTTAAATTGTGGCCGCCAGTGAGTGACCTGAGAGCATCTAGAAACCAAGATGTCAGGCCCTCTGTGCTCCTCTCTCCACCCCCGAGGTCTGCCTTTGGAATCTCCTCTTCTTGATGACGATACAACCATTGCCCAGCAGAGCCATGTTTGTGGTTTTGGTTTGTTTGGTTTGGGTTTGGGTTTAGGTTTTTTGAGAAAGTGTCTCCATATAGACCCTTCTGGCCTAGTACTCACTATGTAGACCAGGTTGGCCTCAGTCTCACAGAGATCTGTCTCCTGCTGTCTCTCAAGTGCTAGAATTAAGGCTTGTGCCACCCCAGAGCCATGTCTGATTCCTCAGAAAAGCAGAGAGGTGCAGTGGTAACAAGCACAGCCTTAAGACCAGAATGCCTGAGCTTGAAGCCCAGCTCTGCTGATTCCTCACTGTGAGTTACTTCATCCTTTGCAACGTGGATTTTTTGTCTTTATAGTACCACAATATTAACACCTCCTTCAAAGTGTTGTTTGGAGGATTATTAATACATATGAAGAACTCTGAACAGTGCCTAGCTCACCATGAGTACTATGTTAGTGCTTATGTCCATCTCCAATGTCACCAGTGTTTATCTTCATGCCCTACCACCTGTGGTCTCGCTGCCATTCTATTGGGTTAAGACATTGTGCCATCTCACATGATATATAGAAACTGTCAGGAAAAGTTTAAAAAGCCCTTCCCACAACCCTAACTTCCTTTCTGGTTCTTTCAGTCCTCTAACACCTTATAAAACTCTCTGGTAGCAGCTGGAGAAATGGCTCAGCGGTTAAGAACACTGGTTGTTCTTGCAGAAGACCTGGATTTGAATCCCAGCCCCCACATGGCCACTAACAACTGTCTGTATCTCCAGTTCCAGGGGATCCAATGGCCTCTTCTGTCCTCCATGGGCATTGCAGGACACAGGTGCACTTACCTACACGCAGGCAATACACTCATACACATAAAATAAAAATAACAAATAAAATATTTTTTAAAACTTGCTGGTATTAAATCTTTTCTGTTTGAAATACCTTTATGATTACTGTTTTCCTAACTGGACCCTCACCATCCAGTCTCCATGCTAAAGAATCTACTAGTATGTGACCTTATGTCTAGCTCCACTTTATTCCAAGCCATATAAAGCATCACTATCTGACTAAACATAATAATGCAAAATTGTGTTTACCCTACAAAACATTTCCTAAGACTCCACATTATCCCCATAATTAAAATCAATCCAGGATCCCAAGCCCTTGATTGCTGGTACATCTCCACATGCATGCCTCCATAGTCCTAAGAAATTCCTCTGTTCCTCAAATAAAAGTCTATATTCCAGGCCCTTCTTACCATGATCTGTGTTTATGTAATCCTTTACATTTAAGATTCTCTCTCTCTCTCTCTCTCTCTCTCTCTCTCTCTCTCTCTCATTTAAAACTCTCTGCACACTCAAGTATCACTTCTACTAAGAAAATGGTTTCCTAATTCTTATTTTCTATCTCCTTGTGCTAATTCTTAAAAGGCTATACATCCAAAAATTCTTCAATACCACTGTCTTCAAAAGGTAAAGCCTAGCTGAGTGTGGTAGTACATGTCTATAATCCCAGCACTTGGTAGGTTGGAGCAGGATGGTGATTGGGAATGAGTTACCTAGCCTTAGGCAACATAGTGAGACCCTGGCTCGAAAATGAAAACAATGTTAAAGCTTTATTTTCTTAATTTTAAATGTGGATGGAGTTGCTTAATGAGCTAAATGGGGTAATTGTGTGTGACCTAAGCCTACACAGAAAGTAGAACTGGAAAAGGGCTTTGAAACTGACTCAGGAGACAGGCACGGAGTCGTAACTGTCACTAGATTTGCCTCTCCTTCCCCTTCCTGCCTGCCTTCCTCTCTCCCCTTCCTTCTTCTCTTTCTCTACTCTTTAAGGCCTCAAGCAACATGGGACCCTGTATATTCATTTCTGCTAACTTCTACTGTCCATGTAGATGAGTAATAAGGTCTAAATTTAGGAAAAGTTAATCATGGAAAATTCTGCCATATGATACAGTAGAGTTTAAGGGTTAAGAAGGTTTATATTATATCATTTAAATTGTCACAGAAATTTTCAAACTCATACCACAATAACCAGACTAACAGAACAATCCCCTATGTACCTATCACCCCATTTCTTCCATTACCAATTTGTGGCCAGTGTCATTTCAAAGCCGCATTTTAATTCTTATCCGATTGCTCATCATATCTATTCTCATAAGACTTTGAAGGAGGGATTAGCGATTAATTACCACTCTCATTTGTCTAAGAAGGATGACTAATTGAGAGAACACATGTGAAGGTGAGTGGATAAGCTTTCAAAAATAATTTGCTTTCACAATGATGATGAGCCATCAGCAAAATTGATGACAAGTTTTAGTAAGACTGCAATAGAAAGGACCATTCTCCCTGTGTAATTATTTACTAGACTTTCAAGATCTTATGTTGAAGGCAGTAGATAGTCAATGGAGGTGAGACCACGAGTGCCGAGTTCTGGTTGCGTGCAACCACGGATTCCTTTCGATCTCATTTCATCACTCACCTCCAGCCTGAGTCGTTGAGAAATCATGCCTAGTTCAATGGTGACAAACGCCATTCGATTTGACCCGTCAGGCTCCACCACGATGAAAGCACGACTGTACAGTCTGGTGAGGAGACCCCGTGCATTCTGGCCACTTTTACTGTAGCCCATCTAAAGAGAGAGAGAGACTCTGAAATGCTTTGTTTCACTCCCCTGCCCCAGAACCCAGGCACTAACTTACCAGAAAAGACAGCTCAGGAGTACAAAGATAAAATCGACATGATTATGTGGCTCAGTGAGATTATGTGTGTGTTCCCAAAAACATAAATAAATAAGCCAAAATCGTCATCACTAATCATCATCAACATAATCATCATCATCACCATCATCACCAGAGCCTTTGGTTCTGTGCAAAGTATTGATAGGACTGGAAGAAGGCTTTCAGCGGCAGGGAGTGAAGCAGGGGGGTCCGAAATTCCACTGTGCACCTTGAGGTCCTTTTGAATTTTTGACATGGAAGGGGCCTTTCTAAGGTGCTATAAGGAAGGCACTATTTCCCTGACTTCTATCCCATATTATTCGGGAACAACCTAAAGACTGGAAACTTTCATACATTGGTTATTAGTTTTGTTATTTTGTTTTCTGAAGAAAATAGCATGCTTATCATAAGATAATCTTTACTAATGTCCTCCACTCAGCTTTTTACCAGCTTCTCAATTCCTAAACTAAGCTAAGATCCTATTCTCCTATTCCACAGCCCTTCTCTCTTCAACTCCTAAAAGCCACCCATAAAAACTACACCCAGGTCTTTGGCTGCCCCCTCTGCTGTTTGCTTTATCCTCGTGAGAGTATACACTTGGGGTTCGTGTCTCAGAGTTATTCTTCAGAATAAACAGCTGGGAGTAATCAGCAGAGTATAGCGAGCACTTGGTAGAAGGGAGCAAATTCCAGCAGACAGCTTCACTCTGTGGTCTCCTAGGCAGGCACTGACATACTTGGTTATGTCTACCATGATAGTCAAGAAGCTGCATGCTAGCAGTCAGCAGGCCACCGCAGACTCATGCAGGTGCTTGATGTTGGACCATACTAGATTTCCAGTTTTAACTATGGTTGCCTACAATTTACAAGTGGGAGATTTAAAGTCCCAGATCTTCAGAGATTTTTCTGGCTTCTCACAAAAGTGTAAAATAGGGAAAACCTAAGCATATGGATCCACACATAAAAAGTGATCTACTGACTTTACAAAAAAAACTTGTAATGGGATAGAAAAAAAATCTCTTTCCTTTAAGATAATATTCCCAATGTCAGACAGCAGTGAAGTAAATAGGAAAGCACGAAGCAATCACTATGTAACAATCATGAACAAAGGATGCAAATGGTAAAATTACTTATTTCACAGTCCCCTTCTTCGACCCAGATGTTTATTGACCTACCAAATTGATATCTGATACTTGTCCTGTGCAATCAGCTCGCCCAACACCAATATAGTAACCACTGAAGTTCTGAAATGGAGGAGACTCTGGAGTGTGAGTCATTGGAGAGGTCTGGGTGACCATGGGGCCCTGGGTGGTTGAAAATCCATGATTTTCTGAATCTGAAAACAGAACAAGATATTTGAGAAACACTTTATCCCACCTATTTTCTTGTACCAATTTAGAAGACATAGTTTCAAGTTCTTAAGAAAAAAATTTTATATTATCTCTCTTCTTTTGTTTCATTTTTTGTTTTGTTTGGCTTTATTTTTCATTTTTCATTTATTTTTATTTTATGTGTGTGAGTGTTTTGCCTGAATATATATAAGTATCTATAGAGGTCAGAAGAGGGCATTGGATCCCTTGGAACTGGAGTTATGGATGTTTCTTAGGTGCCATGTTGGTATTGGGAACCAAACCTGGACCCTCTGCAAGAACAGACAGTGCTCTTAACAGCTGAGCCATCTTTCCAGCCCCTGGTTTGTTTATTATTTGAGGCAAGTACTTATTCTGTAGTTCAAGCTGGCCTTGAACTGAAGCTCCTCCTGCCTCTGCCTCCCAGTGTTGTGATTGTAGATGTGTGCCACCACATCTGGCTTTATGTATTCTCCTGCATATAAAATAGATAGTAAGAAAGGGCAGACTATTTGAAATCAAAAGTCAAAGCACAATCTCTTTCTAGGGATGCTTTGGATAACAATCAAAGCCTTTACAGACCATCCTCCGCCTTCAACTTCTCCCCAGAATTTTCTTGCCACCTTCGTTCACTTCACCTACTTCCCCCGCTTTTCTGTCCCAGACAAGCAAAGTGTGTTCTAGTCCTGTCACGCAGCCTGCTAAAGCTAACCCCAGGGTGTTTATTTGTCCATTGTCGAGATACCTCACTGCTTTCCTACCAGCCAAACCCTCTCTGCCACTCCCTGCAGAGTTGATCTACCTCCATCACAGCTACATCCAGCTGGATTCCTCATCCACAGAGTCATCCATCTGTCACTGTCCAGCTTGGATCCTCAGCATTGTAAGGCCCCTTATTAATGCTGGACCATACTAGATTTCCAGTTTTAACTATGGTTGCCTGCAATTTACAAGTGGGAGATTTAAAGTCCAAGATCTTTAAATCATTGTTCATTTGGTGAAAAGATTCTTTGCTTTGATAATACTAATATATGTATGTGTTTATACATATATATTCCATATCAATATATGTATATATACACACATATATATGTATAATACACAAACACGTATGAATATCAGGGGATTTAGAATAACACAGAGATTAAGAGGCAGGTTCCAGATACAAGCTGCCTGGTTTGAAATCAGACCCTAACAGTTTTTAGCCAAATAGATTACATAACATATATTCCCTGACTTGCTCATCTACACTTAGGGGATAGCATCATGCTTCTTAGCACAGTTTTGAACAGTAACTATGCAACAGTATATCAAAAATTTAGAGCAATGGCTGGTATATAGCTTTGATTTTCTTTACATATTTAGACAATGTATGTACAGACTTCCTTGTGTGTGATTTTGGGTTTTTTCTGCCCCCAGACAGTAGCCAGGCATTGCCAAGACAGTAAATGTCCAAGGGACAAAGCACTGGTGCTCAGAAAGCACTTAGACAAGGGATTTATATGTAGCTTTTCAGATTTCAGAGTTTCACAGCTAAAACATTGAGATCATCTACTCCAACTGTAGCTGACCTGGCAGCAATAAAGAGACCTTTCTGTCCTGTTCACTCTAGCTATCAGATTACTAGAACAATGTGCTCCTAGAAATAGGAAATTCCCCAGGAATTACATGCTTGAAGAAGAAAAGACCAGGAACCTGGTGCCAGCAGAGGAGGAACCTGTCTCCTAGAAAGAGATTCTACACTGCTCTGACAACTTGTCAGACCACCTTGCAGGAGAGACTGGGGCTGATACAGTGATGGTGGATGGACAGGATGACACCCTGGCCAGGTTGCTTCACTGTAGATACCACTCCCCACTATTTAAACTTAAACCTCATGTCAGGACTCTGAAAGTGAATTTGGAGTGTGGAGTCACTGACCCTCTTTGTTCCTCTTCCCAGTGTGACCATATTGAATAAATTCTTTCCTGCTTTTCACTTTTTCTCTTTAATTGGTCTGTTAAGGCCAGGTGGCCAAGTCTATCTTGTTAAGGTTTCAGGGCCCAGGCTTGGACCCTAAAATCTCTGGTAATATAGCCTCCTCAAGTTTACAAATAAGAAAACCGAAAGTTGGAGAAGTGACTTAACCAAGACTTCCGAAAGAATGCATGAGGAATCTGGCACCCAGACAGAACCTCAAACTCCGAATCTGATGATCCTCTACCTGCATGGCAGGTGGAGCTAGACCTGCCCGTGTTTGGGGCAGAACATCAGATGTTACAATGAGGAAGGCATTATTTTGCTTTTACTACACTGTTGTCAACATAGAAATGTGATGCTAAGGAAGGTTGAGCCTCACACACAGGGCAAGTTCTTGTAGTCTTAAGGTTTCGATTTCTCTGTATATAAAATGGCACCAAGTCCAGGGAAATTTTGTGAAAACAAGATGAGAAAATTATGTAGAACTCTTATTAGACAACTCTATATTCAATATATATATTCATATATGAATATATATATATGCTACTGTTATGAGAATAGTTACTGTAGCTCCTAAGAACCTCCCTGAGTCCCTGCCTCCTGTTTCTCTAACTGTTTTTTGAGATGGCTTCTCCCTGTAATCCCAGCTGGCCTGGAACTTACTATGTAGACCAAGCTGACCTGGATGTCACCAAGATCTGCCTGTCTCTGCCTCCTGAGTGCTGGGATTAAAGCACAGGCCTCACACTGGGCCCTGATTCTCTAATTTAAAGAGCTAAAACTAAACAAGTCCTCTGGAATATTTCACTTCTAGTAGTTCAAGACTCTGCTCTGCCCACCACCGCTTCTGAGAACCATTATTCCTTTGAATACACAGAGAATTCGAAGCTCCAAGACAAGGCAAGGAATATACAGTAAAAGAGAAGGGGTTCCAAAGGGGGAAAATGGGGCGAAAAATATCTTAGTTCCTTTTCACTTCGCCCTTTAATTTGGTCAAAGCATTCAACCTTCACCTTTCTTCTCTGCTCAATAAAGAATCATGTATCCTTGCCCTGAAACAGAGGCTCTATACAAGACCCAAAGCCAGTATTGCCTGAAAATGTAGGCCTACATCACCTTCAGAAACTTAAATTTACTTCCAACATTGCAAAAAGAAAATTCCCATGTCTAGATGATCTCAAAAGCTCAGGAGAACTAAGACCCTAGGTGTCCCAGACAAGAAATACCAGGGAGGTTGAACAGGTCTCTTTCCTGAGTGCCTTCCCAAGCCATCTTGTTTACAGAGCTTGATTGCCTTCATAGAGACTGAGTTTGAGAACCTCCTTCCCTAATGCTTTTTATAGGCTAAGTGATATGTACTGTTTGGGGATTTTTATATTTTTTTTTCTATTCTTTTCTTCTTTACTCCCAGGAGAAGATAACACGAACCAGCAGACAGATAAACACCGAAGGCTTTGTAGCAAAAGATGAAATCATAGGACTTGTAAGAACCTTGGACTATGAGTACATTGACAGACAAGTGAAGAGGACATTTGTGTGTATGTCTGCTATCTGGCTATTTGTGGACAAAGGTACATGTGATAAAAGTTGCTATCAATGTAGGATGGGCAATTCATGGAGTGGGAGACAGTCATCCAAGGCTGCTCATGCACAACTGAACAAGAAAACACCATTTCTCATCTTGGTGCTGCACTCTAATCAAGAAATGTCCTATGGGCCAGAGAATAACATCCAGGAGAGTCCATGACACTTGCCTTTGTGGTTTTCAATGGTCCCACTGGTGACGAACAAGAGGGTGAGAAGGGACACTGTGATGGCCGTCATCATTACCAGAAGGAAAATGAGGAGTGCCTCCAAGGTGGAGAAGGTGCACTTGGCCATTTCTCCTGAGGCAAAAGAGAGATGGGCAAAGAAACCTGAGAGATAAAGAATGACAAATTAACACATGCATGTTTCAAGCTTCTTAAAGCCAAGATATCTTAGATCTTTTATATCAGTAAACTATGCCAGGAACAGCAAGTACAAGACACAATTACCTCTGGCTCCAGGTCCCAAGTCCTTGGAAGACAAGAACTGGAAAAGCCTGGAAATGATTTCCAAATCTTTCAGCAACCACACCTATGACTTGACACTGGCAACTAAGGTAAAATCCCTTTGCGTTCCTTGGTTATGTCATACAGCTTTTGATTGTGGCAATTATGGGTTCATACACAGGTCTGGGTTGAAAGTGGTTCTGTCTGTAAACTGACTCAGACACACACACACACACACACACACACTGCTCATATTTTGGAAGAGGCTGACTGGCTTAGAGATGTACCCTTCATTTCTATGGACCAAGTAGAATTATCTTGTCCAAGTGGAAGTGAAACACACAAAATTGGTGTTTAAATTCTGTTATCACAATACTTCTGGTGTGGAACTCTGGTCTCAAGTCAGGTGTTAGTAAAAATCTCCCTTTGGCAATCAGAAGAATGTCACATATTTCATAAATCCTGTCTTCTACAAAAATGTTCCCTTAGAATGTTTTGGAAGCATTTATCCTCATTAAAAGTGACTTCAGACACTAAAAACCCTGTAGTATAATGAGAGAAATATAACACGGTGGGTTGAAGCTGATTTCTAAAGTCTGACCATTGAGGTGAAATCTCAAATCTTCCACTTACAGGGTGACCTTAGGAAATCTCATGATACTGAGCCTCAGTTTCCCCAACTCCAAATAGATATATAATGATAGTTTTAGTATCAATGTTACAGAATTCCCGTAAAATGATACTGTGCACTGTTAATATTACTTCTTTTGTTTCTGGGGTATAATTAATTGCTGAAATACAGTCGTTATCATTGCATTTCAAACAGCAAAGTCGAAATCGTCTCTGGCTTTAAGAGAGTTTAACAATGTTCACATGTGGGTCTTTTAGAGCCTGTTTTCTTAACCTATCCCTTGGGAAGCCTGAGCAATGACGTGGGGTTGGAATCCTAGGACTTTTCCTCAAAATGACTAATTTGTGACTAAGCTACCACTAACCTGACATTTGCAAAATGGCAAGAAATACATGAATTCAGTAAGACCCAGACAAGTTTTTGTTTTGAGTTAGCCTAGAAGACAAGATACAAGATATCCTTTATAGCATCTCTGTAGAGATAGAATTGACACTTTAAATCTAAAAGTTCACATTTTCTTTGAAAGTAGCTCCTAAAATATGGCAGAACTGCTATCCTTTGGGTGTGGCAGGCAGGCTCCAGTCTGCTAATCCCTATCCATGGGTTTAATCTGTCTAAATTACTGCCTGGTTTCTGTAAGCATTTGATTTTGAAATCTTTGGGCTACAGGTGACAAATCAGTCTGACAACAGAAACTTCAGAGTTGGAAAGAACTGGGAGTAGACAAAAAGACAGGAATATATTTCTTCATTATTGGGAAGCTGTCCTCATTCTTTTATTATACCTAGGATCACCCTCAACACCAACAGCGGGGGAAGGGGGGAATCTCAAATCTAGGGCAAAACTAGCATCATGGTCCCAACATGTACCATCTGTCCCAGGAATCAGAAACATATCTAAAATGTACCTCTGAACCAATGGTATCTAAAGAAATTTGCTCCACTAGCTGCTGTTCTAGTGGGAGACTTCAGTCCTAATATACTTAGTACTTGCTCAAAGCTCTGATTTCTAGAGCCTCCTCCAAGATGGGATAATGAACAGCTGGGCACCTCAACCGCAGAGCACCAACATGAAGACTGTATATATAAATGTGTACATAGGGTAGAAGCTTGTACATGAAACAGAGTTGGCACTGTGTGTATGTGGGGGTGCTACTCTTACACTGTCAACCTTCCTACACCAGGCAACAAGGCCCTTGAGCTTGCCAACAACTAAGCATTCTTTTTAAACCATGCAGGCTGACATTACCACCACCTTTCAAGAAATCAAAAGTTGTGTTAGTATTATATATTTCTAACACTGAGAATTAAAAGATAAATTCAAACATTAAGAAAGGTGCCTTGTCTGTCTTCAAAATGCAAATACACCTTGAGGTATTAAACTTATGATTATATCTTAAATGAGCATAGATTTCATAATAACCCCCACTTAGTCATAATCCAGCAAACTTGGTGGTGAGGCTCCAGCAATAAAATAGCAGACTGCCATATCTTTGCAACACTAGAATCCCTGTTTGTCAGAACAATAAAAAATTAACAATCTGACAAAACTGGTTTCTAAAGCTATTGAAAAGGAGGTGAAATTTGGGGTTTTCTGAAGGCCTCTGAGATAATAGGATAAGCCAGAATTCCTTTTCTGTTTCTCTCCAAGGAAAAAAAAGTCATTCTTACCTGATTCTAAGAATCAAAGCAGTGTTTGCCTCTAGGAAAGCAAATGGCCATCGAGAATCTTGTTCCTTAACCTGTGTAGGTTGCTGGACTGACTCCTCAACACATTTCCAAATCTACTGAAGAAAAGTTTTCATAGTCAGATCCAGGAGTGCTAAAGTTCTCCTTAGCATACCTGTGTGCCTGTACCAGAAGGATAGGACTAAAGTACATTGATTAAAAGAAGCTCACACACAAACTCTTCAGCACCTGCCTGTTATTGGAAGTAGACACTGCAGGAGGCCTGTTAGACTGAAGGTCACTTCAGCCTTATGACAAGTTCTGTGGGAGGACTGCAACCCTAATCATGAAAAAAAATAGTCATTCAACCAGTGCTGAAAGACGGTAATGAGTGTTCAGCATTAGTGTGAGCTCATAATCCAGCAAACTTGGTGGTAAGTCTCCAGCAATGAAACAGCAGACTGTTTGCCACATCTTTGCCTTTACCACTGGGCAGTATTTATGCCTATTTCAGACCAGAGCATTGATTTTAATTTTTTAGGGTTTTAGGCACTTATAGTAAAATGTAAAGTTTAAATTAGCTAACTGTGAATGGTAATATAACAGAGCGAAAACACTGTGTAAGCATTGAAAATCATCCTAGAAGCCAGGCAAGGGAATGTACCTGTGATCCCAGCTACCTAGGAAGCTGCGTCAGCAGTATCACTTAAGCCCAAGAATTAGAGGCAACACTGAGCAACAGAGTAAAACCCTTTCTCAAATTAATGACCACGATGATAATAAATAGAAAAAAACATGCTGATGAACTTTGATGACACTAAAAATTATCAAATTGTCGGGAGCCATGCTTGCCATGAGCATTGAAATTAGGAGAGTGTCACTTTAAGAGCTTCTGAGCTCTCTGCTTCAGCGGTCAGAGCTGACAGGCTGTAGCCTGGATGATAACACAAATCTTCTAGAAAGTTAGTTTCAGTTCGGCCTTCGTGCCATCTCTTAGTAACCCTTTTGTTTCTGTTGTTAGGATTCGCCTAGGTTACCCAAACTCCTGGGTGGATAAAAAGGACCTGTGGGACCCCTCAGTAGATTCTTCCTGATTTTTCCTTCTAGAGAGTGCTCTCCTCTCTGTACCTACTATCCCTTTAATAAATTCCTCACATAACTTCAGACTTATGCCTGAGTGTCTTTTTTGTTGAAGACCCAAGCCTGGTGGGCTTGGGGGGCGTTCGACATCAAATATTAAGTTGTTTCACGTTTGTAATTCCACGGGATCCCACGTCACAACACACTCCCATAAAGATCAAGTATACATAAGAGAGCAGAACAGAAAAGTAAAACATAATTTTCTGATAAGGTGGCTTTTGTTTACATTTTTCACCCCACCTTTTCTGTTTTCTGCTAACAGCCATGTACCACATCTGTGATGCAAAAAAAAAAAAAAAAAATGGTCTACTTCTTAGAAAATGTATTCTATAAAAGACCATCTGGCATAACAAACTATCTCAGTTGGTGCAGTAGTGGCACTCTTATCTGGGGGCGGGGGGGGTAATCAACAACTATCTAATTGGACTTAAAGTCCTCTAATAGGAGAGAACTCATGGGTGACACTGTAAATATAACCAAATACACATGACTGGAGAGGTCATAGATCCTTGAGAAAGCCCTATCTCTGGCAGGTCACTAAACAAATTAAATTTAAAGTATGCTAAATATGGATCCTTATATTTACAGAGAAGTACACCATATACCAGTAATCAAAGAAGCTTCTTTTTGCAACAGATGAAGGCTATTACAGAGTTCCACAACTGGTCACACACAGAGAATGTATGTCTGAGAGATGCCCAGCTCCAAGTGACACATCTACAGTGAAACCTCTACACCTAAGGCTCGTGGAACATAGCGGAACAGTGGGTAGAAAGAATACTAATACATCCCTCAGTTCCCACCAGCGAAGCTTCCTCATACAACAGAGTGTGATGCACACAGAAGGCCACAACTGGCTAAGTTTTAGAGAATAAGAGACTGCAGAGTGTATGTCCCTGGATAGGACTCCTATATTAAACTTCATCGACCCTTGTTAAGGACCTTTGTGGAAGAGGGAATGGAAAGATTCTAAGAGCCAGGGTCAATGCATAAACATAAGAAACCAGGGGATTTCAGGCCACTGGGAACTTGATCATATGAACTTGCAACAGTGTTAACAGCATGTCCCCAAATCCATGCCAACTCAGTCAAACAAAATCTCAGCATAGAATAAGGGAAATGGGCAGCTGGACCCAACTCTAGCCCAGGAACTTTTCGCAACTGATTATTGCTGGGTGAGGGAGAGCAGATCTTCTTTAAGGGAGTGACTCTAGATAGGCTGACTAGACTCCAGTGAATGAACTTGTACCATCTGAGTACAAATGCTTCACTGGATAGGACTTAACATATATGACAGAATGCATGAAATCAGAAGGAGGGGTTATGAGGGGGGAGGTGCAGATAGGGGAGGGGGTCTAAATTTGATTAATATCTATTATATGAAATGCACAAAAACTCAATAAAAGTATTTTTTAAAAAACAATAGAAGGTAAACTTATGGCCTGCAGAAGACTAAGAACAGAAGAAATGGGCTCCTCCTCCTCTTCCTCCTCTTCTTCCTCCTCCTCCTCAGTCTTCTTTTTTTCTCCTAGTAAATTCAAGGTCAGGAAGCAGCTGTAAGCTGTTTAATCTTTTGCAGAATTAGAAAAGGCAGTGGTCCTCAAAGTTACAAGAAAACGCCTTCAGTAGGTCACTTGGCATGTATCTTGTATGCCTTGCTACTGCAGGGGGAAGCAGGCTAAATTATGGTAGCAAACAAGTTTTTTTGTTATTAGGAGGAGAAGTCAACCCTGGATATTATTCCTCAGAAACCATATCTACCTTGTTTGTAGAAACAGGTCTCTTACTGGGACCTGGGCCACACTGATTGGGCTAAGCTGGCTGGCCAGCAAGCTGCAGGGATCCACCTATCTCTACCTCCTGTGGTGATGTGAATGAGACGTGTCCCCACCTAGGTGGTGCTGTTTGGGGATGGTCATGGACCCTTCAGGAGGTGTGGCCTTACCAGAGGAAGCACATCACTGAGGGTAGGCTTAAAGAGTTCAGAGCCTCATCCCACTTCCAGTTGCTCTCTGCTTCCTGTATGTTCCTGAAGATGTGAACACTCAGTCTTCTACTCTGGCTACCTCTGCAGCCATGTCTTCCCTGCCATGATGGACTCATCCACCTGGAACTGTAAGCCCAAAAACATTGTTCCTTCAATGAATTACCTTGGTCACCATGTTTTATCACAGCAACAGAAAACTAATACACCTCCCAAGTGTTGGTATTACAGATTTGCAGCACCACACTTGGCTGCTGGGGATTAAACACATTGGTGCTGGGAACTGAACTCTAGTCTTCATGCTTGCACAGCAAATACATTACCAACTGAGCCATCTCCTCAGACCTCCAAGATCATTTTTAAATTTAAAAGTTATGAGCTTGAGAGATGGCTCAGTGATTAAGAGAACTGGCTGCTCTTGCAGAGGACATGGGTTCAGTTCCCAGCGCCCACTTGGCAGCTAACTACTATTCTTGACTCCAGTTCCAGGGGATCCAAAACCCTCTCCTGAGTGCCTCAGACATTTGCATTTACATACATGCAAGCAACATACTCATACATGTAAAACAAAAATAAAATATTTTAAAGAGTTATGAGCAGTCTAACACAATACATTTTTCATAAAATAAAGTTCAGTTCCCAGAGCTCATGGGATGACACCCATCACAATACATTACCAACTCAAAGATGTTGCAAAGGGTGAAAAAAATCTCTTTGAACCCAAAGCATCATAAGTGAACCATAGATTCTCCTCTTCACAGGTCTCAGATGGGTCTAGTTTCATTTATGTTGCTGTAATAAAGCACTCTGACCAAAAGTAACTTAGGAGGAGGAAAGAGTTTATTTGTTTTGCATTTCCATGTCACAGTCAATACTGAGGGAAGTCAGAGCAGGAACTCAAGCAGGAATTTGAAGCAGAAACGTGGAGCAATGCTCCTTGCTGGTTCACTCATAGGCTCATGTTTAGCTTGCTTTCTTATATAGCCCAGGACCATCTGCCTAGGGAATGACACTGCTCACCATGGACTGGGCCCTTCTACATCAATCAACAATGAAGACAACCCACCATAGACATGCCCACAGGCCAATATGATCTGTCCCGTTGACAGTAAAAGCTACTACACAGTTTAACCTCACTCTCCACCCATAAGTCCTAGAAGAGAAGTGCAGCACTTCTTGTAATCTGCTACGAGTATTTCTCATAAAGCCCTTATGCACCCATCCTACAGTGAGTCTGAGATTGTACTGCAGCTACAAACATACTACCAGTCAGTGGGAAGCTCAGGTTCCTGAGACAAGAACCAGTGCCACACACACAGTGCATTGAACAAAAGACGCAGCACAGTGGACACACATACCGTTGACCTCTCCCATGTACCCCACGAAAGTATCAGCAGGTATTGACCATTCTTCAGCTTTGCCCAACGAACAAGGCAAACTACACAAGTATTGGAGATTTTTCTTTCTTCAAGTGACTCCTCAGTACAAAGGAAAAAGATAAATAGGGCCATTAAGGGTATGGGAAGGACTGGGATTTGCATCTGAAGATTAAGGTTGGTTTCTTTAATCACTCTGAATTTTATTTTTCCTTTTTCAAAACCAAGCTACCAAGAACTTATCTTGTTAAAACGTCACACAGGTTTTAAAATAGTTTTTAAAAGTTCTTCACTAATTTTATAACGGGATGCTACGTAGTTATTATATGAATGCTTAAGGGTATGTTTAGGTGTTAGAGACATGGCTTAGTGGCTAAGAATGTGGCCTGCTCTTACAGAAGATCTGGGTTCAGTTCCCAGCACCCACATGGCAGTTAACATCCACCCTTAACTCCAGTTCCAGGGGCTCTGATGCCCTCTACTGACCTCTGCGAGAACCAGAGATGCACATGGTCCACTTACATACATGCAGGCAAAACACTTATACACATAAAATAAAGATAAA